TTCTTCTTAGTGTTTCTTACATTACTCTGAACCCAGCTCCAGGATATTTGCCATTTCTTCTTAGTGTTTCTTACATTACTCTGAACCTAGCTCCAGGATATTTGCCATTTCTTCTTAGTGTTTCTTACATTACTCTGAACCCAGCTCCAGGATATTTGCCATTTCTTCTTAGTGTTTCTTACATTACTCTGAACCCAGCTCCAGGATATTTGCCATTTCTTCTTAGTGTTTCTTACATTACTCTGAACCTAGCTCCAGGATATTTGCCATTTCTTCTTAGTGTTTCTTACATTACTCTGAACCTAGCTCCAGGATATTTGCCATTTCTTCTTAGTGTTTCTTACATTACTCTGAACCAAGCTCCAGGATATTTGCCATTTCTTCTTAGTGTTTCTTACATTACTCTGAACCTAGCTCCAGGATATTTGCCATTTCTTCTTAGTGTTTCTTACATTACTCTGAACCTAGCTCCAGGATATTTGCCATTTCTTCTTAGTGTTTCTTACATTACTCTGAACCTAGCTCCAGGATATTTGCCATTTCTTCTTAGTGTTTCTTACATTACTCTGAACCTAGCTCCAGGATATTTGCCATTTCTTCTTAGTGTTTCTTACATTACTCTGAACCCAGCTCCAGGATATTTGCCATGTCTTCTTAGTGTTTCTTACATTACTCTGAACCAAGCTCCTTATTTTTGCTTTCGCTTATCCGCCAACTACAAAATTTATCAAATATTTCTGTCCGCCTCTTCGACCCCTACTTCAAATAAGTGATTATTACTGATAAATGTAGGCTATTGCTTTTCCCGTTGCTTAGAGTAGAAAATCATAATTTTCTGTATCTAATTTATTTAAACATATAACAATATTCAATAAGTGATAGAAAATACATTTTGAAAGTATTTTTAAGCACACAAGTGCCTGTATAAATAAAGTAAGATAATATAAGCAGTAAAGCCCAAAGATGGCATTTTTTTTTTAAAAGTTTTTTTTTTTTTAAAATTATTATCAAGTCCGACGTTAATCGTTTATAAAAGTGAAATGTTTGGTTGTTTTCTAAATCAATTACTTCTGCTCACGATAGCATGTTGTTAGGCATCTTTCCGTCTGCGGGAGACGATAGATTATCTTTATTGCTTGCAGCTCTTGGTGTGGCTGGTGAGACCAATCCTCGAATGGCAGTCTCTGTTACATTTCCCACACACGAGTGTGGTGGAGCAGTATTTACCGGCCTTCCTCCTCGCTCTTTTTTTGCAGCTGTTTCCGCCCTGTTTTGATCATCGGCATGTAGTGATCCTGCCTTCACGATGCCCCGCCATGAGGATCGATCCTCTGCCAGCTCCTCCCATGTTGAGATGTCGATGTTGGCCGACTTCATGTCTCTTTTGCATATGTCCATGTATCTCAGACGAAGCTGTCCATCTGACCTTTTCCCTGTCGCCAGCTCGCTTTAGAGGACATCCTTTGGTATGCGACCAGGTTGCATACGCTTGACGTGTCCAATCCAGCGGGGGCGTCTTTGGATTAACATGGCTGGGACGCTACAATTGTTTGTTTGGGACAGGACATCCGTGTTGGGGACTTTGTCTTGCCATTTAATGTCAAGGATGTGGCGCAGGCATCTGAGGTGGAAGCCATTGAGCCTTCTTTCGTGTTTAGAGTATGTGGTCCACGATTCGCATCCATACAGGAGTGTGCTCAGTACGCAGGCCTGGTACACCTGCAGCTTAGTTCTTGTTGTGAGTTTGGCGTTTGACCACACTCTTTTCTTCAGTCTGACCATAACAGTTGCGGCCTTCCCTATCTTTCCACTTATCTCATCCTCCATTGAGAGGGTGCTCGATATGTTGGATTCAAGATATGTGAATCTGTCAACAGTATCCAAGTCGTAGTCGTCGATGGCGATAATGGGGAGGGAGTCAGTGCCCTGTGCCATAATGTTAGTTTTCTTTAGGCTAATTGTCAGGCCAAACTCTTTGCAGGCAGCGGATAGGCATGTTACAGCCTATGTAACTGAAATAAAATGTATTTTTTCAGCTACGGCACATCATTGTGGTTTCGGTATTCTTAACTTTTGATTTGTAGCAGTGAAATAACAGAGCAACTGAATACGAAACTCTGGTAGCCACGACACGACCGGGTTATCTTCTAATTTTGCGCCAAAGCGAGGCTCAGTTACATTGCGTTTGAATACACTTGAAATATGCCTGCTTTATTATTTTAAATAAATGTTGATCTTATTCCAAGTTTACTGTTATTGCGATTTTAAAAAAATCTTTCCAAGTGAATCTCATTCCACTTACCAGTTTCATACCGTAATTTATGGAAAATAAACCTAATGTTGCTTTTTTCCCCTTTAAAAAAAAAACAACAAAAAAAAACATATTTGTGATTTATCGCCAACATTTCGAGATGTTCACCTTTCACGTGTTGTTGATCAGAGAAAATCTGTTTCCCAAACCTCAGGCCACCACAACACTTTCATGTGCGGCTGGACATTTACTATTAATAAACTTAACTACCCGTGACCTCTCAAATTATCTACGTGCCTGCCTTGATTTCTTCCAAACTAATCAATGGATCAAATCAAATATTTTTTTAAAAATATAATAAAACCTTTGATCATTGATCAAATTATTAAGATTGGTAACTCCTTCAAATGCAATCACCTTTCTCATGCCGACTAAACAGATCACCACCGTTATATGACAACATCTAGAATACAATAGACTGCAGGTTATTTTTAAAAAAAACAACAACCAAAACTAACATCTTTGAAGGCATCACAAAAAGATCAAGTGCCCATAAACTTCTAAATTTCTTTCGCCGTCTTTATGGCTGGAGATGATATCATTAGCGGCAACTTTACGGACACTTAGCACTGCATGCATGGCTCATCGCAAACAATGGACCCAAAGAGACCAACAATCAAATAGAACACAAGTCAAGTCAAATAAACAGAACACCTACAGTGCTTCTAAAAGTGTGTGTGTTGTTATTGTTGTTGTTATTGTTGTTATTGTTGTTTTAACGCAACTGTTTAACGGTAATTATGCAAACATTAAAAAAAGAACCCCCATGATATAGTGTTGCAACGTTTTTTTCCATAATTTAACAGCTGATGACAGGATCATGCTGATATTTAACAGCTGCTGTCAGGGGCCGTGTGTAGATTGTAAAAACGCAGTCCAAGCCAATCGTGGTTCTGTCAGATTGCCAGCAACACCATCTAAGACCATCTTATGAAACAAGTGGATTTTTTGGGAGATGAAACATCGCCTTCCAATTCAGATGTATTTGGTATTCGTGGGTCCATGAAAGAGCACCAGCAAAACAGACATACACACACTTTAGGCCATTGGTAAATGCTACTATCCATCCCTGTGGAGCTACTGCCCATGTAGGGCTTTGGCCTGCCTCACCACTTCCTTCCACCCAGACCTAACTAATGCTTTTCTTTTCCATGCTTGGACTTTCAGCTGCTGTAGATCTTTTTCTACATGATCTATCCACCTAAGTCTAAGTCTGCCTTTGAGCCTTTTTCCTCTTGGGGTATTGGTGATGTACCCTCTTCGTTCCTCTGTCATTTGGCTCGCGTTGACTACAATGGCAAAATTGCGTTAAAAATTGCCCCCCCCCCTAAACCAGCGCGTCACTAAAATATCAAAGGTGACTTTCGAATTTCGTAGTAGCAAAGTCTAAGTCTGCCTTTGAGCCTTTTTCCTCTTGGGGTATTGGTGATGTACCCTCTTCGTTCCTCTGTCATTTGGCTCGCGTTGACTACAATGGCAAAATTGCGTTAAAAATTTCCCCCCCCCCCCCTAAACAAGCGCGTCACTAAAATATCAAAGGTGACTTTCGAATTTCGTAGTAGCAACTTAGTAAATGGCAGCGCTTACCTTTTCATATTCACTAAATTTTTTATGGAGCTTTAGAACATGAATAAGGAAGAATATATGATTTAAGGGGAAGTAGATGTGCCGTGGTGTGAACCCTAGCTAGGAAGATCCATATTTCATGAAACCCTTTTGACTCTCCTGATTGAGTTTGAATTGTTGAAGAGCCCCAGGGGTCTTAATCGCAAACAGAATTCCCCGTGGAGGACGTTCTCCTCAAATGCAATGGCTAACTCAATACATTCCTTTTATTAAAGGATGTGCTTCGTAGCTACAACTTTCCAAATAAAATAGCGCGACAGTGTTATTGTTACGCTGGCCACAACAACTTCATTATAATCACCAATGTCATAAAAAGGTTGATCAATTTTGCTCCATGATGGCTTGAGCGCTTAAAGATAGGTACATCAGGACCAAAAGTTGCAGTTCCCACACTCTCACTGACGACACTTGCCCCAGGATTATTTTTTTTTTTTTAATGGTGGTGGCAAGCCATGTAGAGGAGGTCATTTTACACTTGTTTTTTTCTAAAAGTATGTAGTCTCCACTTATACGTTGTGTATGACTTGAAGTAGTATCAGAGAATATTGTCTTAACTTTATAATTGATCCTCAACTCTTCCAATAAATGTGCAACAGCTTGGGACTGTCAAATTTTGAAATGCAGTTTGAGAACACAATTTACCTGATTTATTCCCTCACCTATAACAATGACAGATGGTCAAACAACATTTTCATTTCGATTGAGGTCTAAAGGACGCTTTCCATCAAATGCAGTAACAGCGTTCTACCAGTGGTTCCAAAGATGGTTGAAATCATCTCTTCTAATATTTTTCACAATTTCATCTATGACCATTTTTTCAACTGTTTTACTGTTACGAAATAATGACTAAAATTGAATTTACTTGAGCCACCCTTTCATATGAATCAATTTAACTGACAATTTGGCAGGTATTATTTTGTTGTGTAGTGGAACAAAACTAAGAGGCTCATATCATCCTATTTTCAAACTTCGACAATTTGATCCACACTCATTTATATATACATGTATGTTATAGGTACAGATAATACACATAAATGTACTCTTTTCAGTAATAATTTTTTTTATTCAGAGCAATCACTGATAATTATCAGATTGTGTTTATATTTTTTCATTTCTTTTTTCAAATTTCACCCAAAGTCCATCATCTGCCTTGGTCTGTATCTTGCTTAGTCTCAGTGGAAACACTGTCTTGCTGCAAACCACCGGGATCAATTTTTGTAACACTGCAGCTATAGCGATTTTCATCTCCACAATAGCCAGTCTCATGCCAATACAAGACCTAGGTCCAAAGCCAAAGGGAAGGTATGCGTAAGGGTGGCGTGACGCTTTGTTCTCTGTGGTAAAACGCTGAGGGTCAAACTTGTCTGGCTCTGGGAATTGTTCAGGGTCTGTGTGAATGGCATAGACCGGAATAAATATCTTCATGTCTTTGGGGATGTGGATCCCTTGTATCTCCGCGTCTTGAACACACTCCCTGACCAGCAGTGTCGCCGGGGGGAACAGACGCATGGATTCACTGATGCACATCTCCAGGTAGGTGAGACCTTGCACCGTCTCGTGGTTGGGGACGTCCTTCCCGCACTGCTCGTCAATCTCTGCTTGCACTTTTTTGACACACTCGGGATTGACGGCCAGCAGGAACAAGGTGAAGGACATAACCGTAGCCACCGTGTCATAGCCAGCAAATATGAAAATGATGGCCTGAGCCTAGGAAACAGAAAAAGCAAATTTTATGATAGATTTTAAACGGATATTAGAACCATTTAGATGATGAAGAACACGAGAAAGCTAATCAATTAATATTATAATTATATTTTGTTATTTTAAATTTAGATTGTTACAAATTATTTACATGCTACTTAATGAGAACGTCCAATTTGGTTCATACTACATTATTGACAATTATTGAGAATGTAAATACTCTTAACACAATTATGTTTATTGAATATATTTAAGGATTAAAGTATTTAATTTATTGATGCTCCTTAAATTAAAGAAGTCTTTAAAAAGATACGGAATTTTGTATGGTGTATCCTAAGAAAACAATAAAACAAAGCAATATCAATTATCTTACTTCGCCTGCTGACTATTTTAATATATCTCCATTAGTGGTTCAATACATAATACATAGTGTGCGAACCCTTTGAAAGCCCAATAAAGGAACAAACTATATTAAAGAGCCTCGTGTGATATTTTTTACAGTTTTTAAATCGTCTTTGTAAATGATTAAATTCTTTATATCTGCTCACGTGGATTTCCGATCTGGTTAGCTCGTTCCTCGTCAACGCAGCATCGATTTCCGTGTCATGGCTTTGATCAACTTCAGCCCGCATTAGAAGATCAAGGAAGTCGTTGATCTTTCCACCCGAATCATCCCGTTTTCTCTCCTCTATCGCCACGTCAACGACACTCGCGAGATAGTCCAAAGGTTTCTGCGGGAGAACGCTGACGCCCAGCATTGACAGAACTTTTGCTAACTCCGGTAAAAGCAAGACGAGTGCGTAGACAAGCGGATTTGGATTCAATAAAGCTTTGGCCGAAGCTACAAATTTGTTTTTGGGATCTTTCAAGGTGTTAATCTCCAAACCGAACGCGGTGCTGGCGATGACGTCAAGCGTGAAGTAAGAGCAATACTCTCGCAGTTCAACACATTCGCTGGAGTCTTGTTTTTGTTGTAAGTTGTCCAACATTATTTTGGCGTTTCTCTCTATGTGTGAGGACATGGTCTTGATCTTGGCCGAGCTGAAGGTCGGGCTGACGAGGGTGCGGACTTGCTTCCAGTGGTCACCTCGCAGGATGAACAGGTTGTCCCGGAACGGAGGCTCGGTGTCAAAGGTGACAAATCTGTTCACGAAGCAGTTGAATTTTTTAACTAGGATTTCTTTCACCATGTCTAAATCCTTGACAATCAGAATGGGCCGTCTAGATTCATACCATCCATAGACCTGAAACAAAAAAAAAAAAAAAAATATTATCACCGGAATTTAAAAAGAATATTGACCAAAAACATTTTATGTTTTAAAGAATAATTTAAACATTTTAACAGTTTATTTATGGATAGAAAGGTGACAAATCTGTTCACGAAACAGTTTAATTTTTTAACTAGGATTTCTTTCACCATGTCTAAAACCTTGACAATCAGAATGGGCCGTCTAGATTCATACCATCCAAAGACCTGAAAAAAAAAAAAAAAAAAAATATTATCACCGGAATTTAAAAAGAATATTGACCAAAAACATTTTATGTTTTAAAGAATAATTTAAACATTTTAACAGTTTATTTATGGATAGTAGAAATTCAAAATTCATTATAGATAATTGAAATTCAATAGGTTTACGTTTCATGTCACTATATTCCAATAGCTACCATGGAATATATTTTACTTTAGTATTCTTACCTTTTAAAAATTGAATCTAGTTAATGAATGCTAACATATACCACTTTATACATTCGATAATCATATACATAAGCAATAGTTTGCAATCAAAGAGTTTTTGATGGACACGAGTAAAGCATATCTCACCAGATGACTACCAATGGTACTGGGGTATGGCTAAATCTATGAAAAGTTGGCTGTGAATGAATAGTAACTGAAAATATTTTTTTTACAAAAAACCTCTAAACACAACGTTCTCTATGACAACATTTTCTTTGTATTTGAAATTTGGGGGATTTTTTTATTTTAACGTTAAGTTTAGTCTATTAGACTTTTATTGGAAGTACACTGCTACCTTTTTATCTTTAAATTGCTTGTAGAAAACGGTCTGTGATCCAAATATCCCGTACTTGAGACTCAGGCCAAAGTTTCCCAGAATCCTAGATGTCGGAGGTGTGTCAATGCCCATCTTCCTGAAGGTGTCATGGTTGGCTGACATTACTCTGACAAACAAAACTGCCAGCAGTGCCAGGATGGCAGCAACAATCAGAAGCGTCAAATACATGGCTGGTCTCTATGGAAAGAGAAACATACATTTTACATTTAAAAGTTGTCTTGAACAATTTTAAGATGTAACTGCGATAGTATTCGACAACGGTGCATAGATGTCAATTGGGTGATACGGGTCATTGGTGACGACTTGACTATTTTTTACTAGAAAGGATATCGTTTCTAAAAGAAGATTAATGTCCTTGAAATGAAATATGATGTCATTTTGACTTTGCAGGTGTGTATTCTGGTACATGTAACACGTTTTCATATCTCATTATTCCATTCTGACCACTTAATGTACAGTACATGTCTTGATTTTAACAACATTGTGCGACAGGGTGGTAATTAATTTCCGGTTTTTGTACCAGAAAGCTCCATGCTATGCGCATTGCATGCAAGGAACTTTTAAAAATGAAAAGACATGTTCACTTCAGATATTCGATGCTTCTGATAATCGATGTTCTGTATTTCGACAATCTATTGTACTAGAAATTTCCATATCTTTGAAAAAGTCTGCGATTACCAACACGACTCCTTGTTGTACTGCAATACTATAAAACTATATCTTTGATTACAACATCATAACATTAATACATGAGCTCCCAGCTATTGGCATTGCTAAAGTTTAAGAACTAAGCAACTCTAGTCTGACGGGAAATCATATTAAACTAGTCGGACAACAAAGTCCATCATATCGGTTAGAAATACTTCACTTAGCTTGGATGCCTGCTGATCTAAGTTACGGAAACTCATTAAACATACACATTTTATGCAGCCTATTGGTAACTTTAGTGAGTCGTGGCAACAAAAGTCCGACGATAGAGTTTCCCCAATGCCTTGTAGTTAAAATAGGCGAATACATTTCTATGGGGATTTCACTATCGCCTATAGACGACTGTAGAGCGAAAACATAACAAGGTCACTTAAGTGTGAAGACAGTTGCAATCCTACATATTTAACGGTATTTATGGTTATAGTTATTTCATTCATTAAGCATAATTATTTTCTGCAATATATTCAACTTTGCCTTGTGTATAAAATAAAAGTATACATCGATTCAAGTGTACGTACATGCACACTAAAATCATAACTCACCTTTGTTCTTATTTCAGGTTATAGGTAATAGTCCAGCTAAATATATCGCCCAACTGCTCTGGTTGTTTGGCTTAGTGCCAGTTCTCCTGTCCAGTATGGTGGTATGCAGTTCTTGCTGATCAGTAATACATATGTATATGTATTATGCTACTGGTTCTGACAGCCAATATGAGCAACGATCTAAAAATTGATCAGTTTTAGACTAGTCCTTATGCAACAACGCTTCAGTTAAAACTAGCTTTATTTGTGGCTTAGATTCTACGCAGCATTAGCTCATGCAAGCATGTAAAGTAGGTCGTCAAACTAGGCCATATTTTGTAATCATTATCGGGCGTTAATATTCCTTAATAACAGGGGTGGGCCACCTTTTTGTTTGGAGGGCCGCATTAAATTTTATTATTACTTTATAATTTTTTTTTATTTAAGTGGCTCTTCGCAATTTCCTAAGACTCTAGATTTATACGCAATACATTGAAAGTAATTTGAATACATTTAAAAAATATATGGTGAGACGATAACAAACAGATAACATGTGATAATTATTTGTCTAGATAAGAGAGAGGCTAGTGATAGAGTTTCAGTTTTATTACATAATTTTGAAATATTCTGAAATAATTTCATAGCTTTCACAATTTAAAAAAAAAGTACTTTCCCATTATTAAGAAATGAAGTTCTTGCCTAGTCTAGATTCCAAATTGTATCCGTTGGCCAAGAACTGTAATTTTATTTAATGATGTTCTTGCAGGAGAAAGTTTCCTCTGAGATGTCAGTTGGGATAAATGAAACTGATTCTCAAAGTATTTTATTTACAAAAGCTTATGATCCCAAGTAAGTCATACAATTAAAAACAAATAATATGAGAAATTTATCAAACTGCAAGTCTGTTAAGTCGAAATGCATTTCACTAGAAGCTTTGTCAATAGTTTGTGAAAATGGAATGGGGGGGGGGGAAAGGGGAAGGGACAAGTACACATTGCTTGACAATGATTCATTTAATGTATTTTTAAAGATTGTGGGGGCAGCGGTGAAACAAGGAGGAGGGGGTGGTCTGCCCAGGTAAGAATGTTTCAATGTTATGTACGTACAACTGCACAATTCTTGGCTCGCCCCAGATGGCGCTAACCCGAACAACACCACTGAGGGGCAGTAAATAAACCAGTCATTGCAGCGTCTTTTCCAATAGAGTGCGTTTTAGCAAAAATGTGCTTGTTACTGCAGCACCTGAAATGTGCACGTGTCACAGCACATAATAACCTTCCTTGGCCTAGCGTTGGATGAATAGAAATCAGTAGTACCAAATGATCTTTTAATAAGCGAATTTGTGTTTATGATTAATTTGTGTATGTGTTTGCGTGAGTGTGTGTAAGTGTGTGTGTGTGTGGGTAATATCACGCATTATCGATCGGTTGTCGCCACTTGTTATAACAGACATCTAAAAAAATCATCTAAAAATAGTTAAATTATTTTTGTAAAAAGTGTGAAAAGGGACATAATAAAATATAATTATTTTGTTTGCCAAATAAATTACTCTTTTTTTTTGTCACTAAACAATAATGCTCATTTAAATAATGTCCCCAATATATCAAACCTATAATATTTTTATGGTCTGACTTACCTTAATGAAACCATCCAACCATGGAAATTTCACTTATGTTACAGTTGTAATGAAATTACGAAGTTTACAGAGATTTTCAAATTACCACATACACATTATTACTGTCGAACACAGTTACGCTTTATGGTTACCAAAAAAACGTTAGTTTAGAATGTAGTGTTCAACTTTACTAAATAAATATTGTATTAGAATGTAATGCAAAGCTTAAAAAAAATAATATTGGAGAATGTAGTGCAGGCCCTCACCTCTACAAAAAAAAAGTTATATGAGAATGTAGTGTACAACTTTACAGAATAAACATTATATAAGTATGTAGTGTACAACATTAAAAAAACATTACATGAAAATGTAGTGTACTACATTTCAAAATAAACATTATATGAGAATTTAGTGTAAAACATTACAAAATAAACATTATATGAGAATGTAGTGTACAACATTACAAAATAAACAAATGAGAATTTAGTGTACAACATTACAAAATAAAAATTAAATGAGAATTTAGTGTACAACATTACAAATAAACATATGAGAATTTAGTGTACAACTTTACAAAATAATCATTATATGAGAATGTAGTGTACAACATTACAAAATAAACATTATATGAGAATGTAGTGTACAACATTACAAAATAAACATTACATGAGAATTTAGTGTATAACTTTACAAAATAAACATTATATGAGAATTTAGCGTACAACATTACAAAATAAATATTATATGAGATATAGTGTACAACTTTACAAAATAAAAATTATATGAGAATTTAGTGTACAACTTTACAATATAAACATTGTATGAGAATGTAGTGTACACCTTAAAAAAATACGAGATTGTAATGTACAACATTACAAAATAAAAATTATATGAGAATGTGGTGTACATTTTTACAAAATGAATATTATATCAGAATGAAGTGTACAGCTTCAAACAACAGCTTTTTAGTGTCTAAAAAGGTTTAGCTGATTCCACAAGGCCTTTAAGACATTATCTTTATATAATGAAGCATTTGAAGGAAGTTCAAACACGTTTGTTCAAATTCAGCTGGTTTGTACGCACACGTGAAAATTAAAAAAAAAAAATCTCATTAAAAAAAAAAAATCTCAGGTAACAATTTCTATTTTACATATTGGACATCCTCAGATGAGAGAACCTTAGATGGGATTCCGAAACAAGTATTGAAGGAATGTGAAGCCGACAATGTATAGATTTGATTTCAATCTCTTAAAAATCCAGCTATCTCTCTGAGTTTGAAATAAAATAAAGATTTGGTCCATTATCGCCCACATTTCTTCCACACAGGGCCTTGCGAATGGTCAGCCGCATCGGGCATCTTATCGGTTGGGGGGGGGGGGGGGAGGGCGAAAAAATCGCCATACTCTGGAAATAAAAAGTTAACTTTGAAGACAGACCGGTTCTGTTGTGCTGCGTCTGTATAATGTATGAATCATTTAGTCTGTAAACGTAGATAAATTCTTATCATGGCATCCACTGCTTCTGTTGGATTTTTCTCTAGTGCAGTGGTTCTTAACCTTTATAATGCCGTGACCATTTAATACAGTTTCTTATGTCGTGGTTACCCCAAAACATCCTGTTTTTTTTTCGTTGCTACTTCATAAATGTGTGATTTCCGATCGTCTTAGGCGACCCCTTTGTAAGATGCGTTCGAGCCCCAAAGAGGTCGCGACCCACTAGTTGAGAACCGCTGCTCTAGTGTCAAAATACGTTTCTGACCAGTTTTCTTTCCGCCAATTTCCCCCAATTTCTTCCATGGTTTCACGTTAATTGCGTACTCCACCTGATTGCTGGTTTACAAATGAGCTTGGGTACTACACATCAGATTGGATTATTTATGAAGTTTTATGTTTGGAACTCCGTCAAAATGCTCGTGAACCAAACACATCTTTAACCCCATTTTTATCCCCACAGTCATGCAGTGTGCAGACGTCTAACTAAGCGCTGTTCGCTGCTGGGCCACCCTGGAGGTTTTCACTACAAACTGATCGGTTAACTGCAGTGAATTATCGACCAGGAGATGTCAAATTCGGGGACGGTTAATAACTGAGGATCAACTAAACAGAGATGAAAAAGATAAATGATAAAATTTGAAAGTCAGATGTGAACCTAAATGAAAGTATTTTATTTTTATTTTCGGAATCTTATCATTTTTATTTCGACCGAAAAAATGTATGTAATAAGCTTAAAATATATTTTCCCACGGGGCTGCACAGGCCCGTCGACAGAAATTTCGGGCCCCTAGGCAGGGCTGTCACGGGCCCCCCGAGGTCTGAGCCTCTAAACTATCTTTAGGCTTTATGAGAATTTAAAAAAAAAATTGACAGATCCTGTGGGCGTGTTTAAAATAGAGACCGGCACATGCCGAATTTACCAAGCCCGGTCTCTCTGGTCGTGTCAAGTGTGATTCGTGTTCAAAAATTGATGTTTATTTCAGCAGAAGAAATTACTAAGACGACGGATTGACATAATTGCATAAGAATGATAAAATGGTAAATAAGTACGGCAATATTCAGATGCTTGAAGTTTAATCTGATTGTAATAAAGTGTAGTTAAGTTATATTTACAAAAGCATAAGTAATACATTTTTATAGCTGATCATAATATTTTCAAAAGTTGATTGCTGGCCCGGGCCTGGCCCCTAAAACTCACCGGGCCCCTGGACATTTGCCCCCCCTGCCCCCCTTCTCGACGGGCCTGGGGCTTCACGTATCGTATTGATTGGAAAAGGGAGGAACGCAATGTTATTTCCAAGCGCAGATTTTCCTCCAAAAACCTTGCTCCCACACCCCAAGTAAACATTGCTAATGATCGCTAACGATAATTTCAATGAATTAATGGCTGTTTGGGAAGGAAGTGAGTTGCTGCTTTCTTCACTGTTGAAGATAATTTTATTTTTAAACCGAGAAGTAGTTTCTCGCAGGCAGTATCAGAAGTAATTTCTCGCATGCAGTATCAGAAGTAATTTCTCATATGCAGCAACAGAAGTAATTTCTCACATGCAGTATCAGAAGTAACTTCTCGCATGCATTATCAGAAGTAATTTCTCATATGCAGCAACAGACGTAATTTCTCACATTCAGTAACAGAAGTAGTTTTCAAACATGCTCTTTCAGAAGTAGTTTGCACCGACAGTTCATATTTCTCACCAAATGTTACTGAAAATATTCATTTTGAAGCTTATTAAAGAGAATAAGTGTTAAAAGACACTGCAAATTAAGCTAAGCAGTGGATGTGGTAAAATTTATGTTTATTTTAATACACTGAGTAACCATCAACATTGTAGGTAAGGATTTTTTTATTTATATTTGTAAATTTATATTTCAATGGATTTTTACTTTCATAAAATTAAAATTATGTTCCATTTTATTATTCTTTAATTATAAAAAAAAATATTTATCAATATATTATTTGTTCCTTACTTATGGTGCAGCCTTTAAAGAATAATAATTCATGAACTAGGGAATATGTTCGGTTTACTTGGTAGGATAAAATAGTTGCTTATTTTAATTCGCGGTTTTCCTGTATTATTTGATATCTATATAATTCTTGCAAGTGTTAAATCAATATATATAAAAGGTAAACAAGTGAATATAAATTAATTTAATTAATTTTATTTTTATATTATTTGTATTATTAT